AGCCTGTGAGACATTGTGTGGGGAAAAACCTACTCCTCTAACTGTGCTTTTTCCTCCACTTTCACACCACAATGATCATCAGCACAGAAGAAAACCTCTGTGACCAAATGTGTGGGGGTCTCACCCCACCACTAAGCAGCGTACACCAGCCAGGTGTCCTCCAATCCAATTCTGACACCGTCTACCTGGAGACAGTGTTAGATCCCACAGCTTAAGGCTCAATCCCCCAGACTGTTCCCACCTCCCTGCCCAGTTGCAAGCCCAGGGTTCTGGAATTTCTCACCAGTTGGCTTCAACTGGGGTTCTAACAACTCCTTCTGGGTTCGGCTGATTTGCTAGAGTGGCTCACAGAACTCAGAGAAACACTTACCTAAGTTTATCAGTTTACTAAGAAGTGTGTGTGTGTGTGTGTGTATGTGTGCATATATGTGTACGTATATATTTTGAGATGGCGTCTTACTATACTGTCCAGGCTTGAGTGCAGCGGGACAATCATGGCTCACTGCAGCTTCGACCTCCCAGGCTCAAGTGATCCTCCCATCTCAGATTCCCAAGCAGCTGGGACTACAGGCCTGTGCCACCATGCCCAGCTATTTTTGTTTTTATTATTATTTGTAGATACAAGGTCTCATTATGTTGCCTAGCTGATCTTCAACTCCTGGGATCAAGTGATCTACCCGCCTTGGCCTCCTTAAGTGCTGGGATTACAGGTGTGAGCCTTCTCAGGGTCACAGCTCCTGGCCCTAAGAAGGATATTTTAAAGGATAAACATCCAGATCAACAGATACACAGGGCAAGGTCTGGAGGGGTCCTGAGCGCAGGAGCTTCTGAACCTGGGGAGTTGGGGGTGTGCCAGCCTCCTGGCACACAGATGAGCTCTTCACTTTCCTGTTGGCCTCCACAGCTTTAGCTTTCTAGAAGCTCCCTGAACCCAGTTTCTTGGGTTTTTAGGGAGGCTTCAGGATATCAGCATTCCTTCCCCCAGGGTACAGGGTAGGACTCTCTTAGGGGAGGATCCCAAACCCACAATCTGAAAGACGGGAAAAGATTAGAGTCCAGCTTGGTGCACATGAAATAGGAGGGCAGGAGAGATTGTTTCCCGAGGCCTAACACATCCAGCATTGCAACAAAAGACTGTAACAAGGGATGTGGACATTATGAAACAGAAACTGTGGACAGGCACCAATACATATTATATCGATAGCTCCAAATATATACGTATATCTTATAACACCATAGGCCACTCCTTGGTTTTCAACCACAGATTCCCTTACACCAAAACAATTGTACCTATCAGAACATCTGTTGTAGAATTTATAAAACAGATATAGCAACGCCGCCAATCAAATGCACCTAATATCTGGAGAAGCAAGTGTGGGTGGGGATATATTTAAACAAATAACTAATTTGTACCACGAAATCCTACACTTTCATAATCGTGTACTAGACTCACTGTTCTTTCCCACCTTGGTCTACTGCTATTGCACCTTATGATAAACTTGTGCAGAACTGTTTAGCACAGAGATCAGCTGATGGTTAGTGAGATACAGTTCCTTCTTAGGCCAGTCATTTTCCACAGGTTTACATCTTGAGTGGGCTTCAACTCAACCTCCCAATACATCTGCTCATCAGTATCAGCATTATTACAGGCTTATTTACACGAGGAAGCCGAACCTTACCAACGCCACCAGTATTACACTATACTGTGGTACAATCATGGTACAATTTAGTTTCATTACAGAACAGATTAATAAGAATGACAGAGGTATTTCCTTTGCCTTTCCAATAAAATTTCCCCTTGTCTATATACCAAATGTTATTAAGGGCAGGTGTGACAATGGCCATGACTCAGTCATTTCCAGATTCGAAGTTAATTAGGGGCAGAGCCAATCACTCTGTCTCATCTCACAGGCTTGTACTGAGACTGGTTTCCACTGGGTACTATTAGTTTTAGCATAGTCCATCTGCCTCCTGCAGGCAGGACATGTGTGGGGTTTATTTTACTAATTAATAAATAGAGACAGGGTCTCACTTCATTGCCCAGGCTAGTCTTGAACTTCTGGAATCAAGTGATCTTCCTGCTTCAGCCTCCCAAACTCCTAGGATTATAGGCTTGAGCCACAATACCTGGCCTATTTCATTCATTCATTCGTTCGTTCATTCATCCCTCCATCCATCCATTCATCATTTGAGGGGTGTTTAGAATGGTTCCCAAACCTACCAGCTGCACTGTAGAGTATGTTTTACTTAGCCCTATTCTAGAGGCAAGGGCAGTCATAGTAAATGCATGCCCATAGTTCATGCCTTACAATGATGAAAACTGCAAGTGCCCTCAGAGAACTTCTGTTAAGTTCAGAGGGCTACAAGGGTCCCACAGGTGTGCCCCTGAGCCTCAGCAGCCAAGACTGAGGGCCACTGCCCCATGGTCGCTTCAGCCTCTATTTGTGTTAAAGTTGTGAAGAGTCCCTTTTGGGTCTGGGTACAGGCCCTTTCCCAAAGCTGTGTCTTAGCATTCTTCAGCATTGTTTCTTGTGTCTGCCTGGCTCACTCTGCCAAAGCCTCCTTATCTTTTCAGGCTGACTCCCATCCTTTTGCTTTCCTCCTGAAAGAGAACTGCCTCTAATCTGCATTTTCCTCTGAATTCTGCTCCTTATTAAAAGCAAACTCAGCGTATCCCAGGATACCCAGACCTGTACCTATCTTCTGTAAGGCCCTTTCCTGTCTCAGGGGTCAGTGTTGTTTAATTCAACATGCATGTTGCTGCACTGTGTACGAAAGTCCTGAGTATAGTTAGGATACGTGTTTTGCACCCAGAAATGCTGGGTGCCCTGTACTAGAGTTAGATGAGTAGGCCTCCCACAGCATTCCTTGTCAAACATGGCTCACTACTACCTCAACCTTTTGGACTCAAAAGATCCTTCCGCCTCAGCTTCCCATGTAGCTGGGACCACAGGTGCACACCACCACACTCTGCTAATTTTTCAAATTTCTGTAGAGACAAGGTTTCACCACGTTGCCCAGGCTGGTCTCGAGCTTCTGGACTCAGGTGATCCTCCAGCTTGGGCCTCCCAAAGTGCCTGGATTACAGGTGTGAGCCACCGTGCACAGCCCCACAGTTTTAATCCCATGAAGAGCCCACTGTTTCCCCCTATTCTGCTTACTAGCTTTCCATCCACAAAAGGAAGGGTGGTAAGAGTGTACATAGCACACTGTGGTATATTGGGTATGCTGCCATTACATTTTGTCCTTTATGCCCAAAGATCTTTCCAAGCATCTGATCATCAAGGTTTATATTAATAGTCACATAAAAATCAGTCTGCTGGGAGCCATATTACCACACATTTGGTATCAGTGAAGCAGGATTTGTTGGAACAGCTCTGACTCACAGAAACGTGGTTTGAGAAGAGAAAGGATAAAAGGGTGGGGGATCAGGAATCTTTGATTCCTATGTGGCCATGTGGTCACCCAGGGTATGAAGCCACAGCTGTGTTGAGATCAGTTACTAAAGGCAAAAGTTACCAGTGGAATTCAGAGATGGATCTGACTCCCCAGGGATTGGTGCACTGGATGCATAAATAAATAAATGCAAACTAAGAAAAAAGTAAAATATTTAATCCTTCAGTTATTGTTGTCTCTAACAGCTAAAATAAAAGAGGGTGCTGGGTCAGGACTTGAGGCTGGACTAAGCTCAGATGTGGGCCTGCCTGAGCTCAAGCCACTAGCCTTAAAGTTACCCACAAAGAAGAAAATTACGCGGGGACAACAGAAAGTACCTCTGAGACTTGTGGTTACCAAGAAGGTAGTCAGTATGAAGGAGGGGCAAAACCAAGTAACCAGGGAAACTAGAGGGTACAGTGTGAAGGAACTGTTTCATTCTGTAGATCGGTATCATCAGCTTCCTGAGGAACCTTTACTAAAATGGATTATGAGAGTGGCTAATTGAGGGGCAGTATCTTTGGTTTTAAATTCCACAGAGTGGAAGTACATGTTTGGATTGATAGAACCCACACCTCACTACTGAACAACTGCAGATGGTTATGTATGATCCAGACACACAGGAGGCTATTCTTGAGGTAACTGCCAGCCTGGTGGAACAGATAAAGCCACTGTCAAGGTCTGCTTACCCTGAGAAGGGGTACTGTCCAACTCCCTCTATAAATGCCAAGTGGGACACCCCAGATGCAGCAGCTGATATGCTCTGTATGCATATGGGACTGGCTTTATGATGACGGGGCTATTCACACGTTGAATATACCTGCTACCCAGGTCATTGCAAATGCTGTGGTTCAGAGGGCCCCTTCTACATGGGCACCCCATGTGATATTATTCCTACAGAACTGAACTTGAGTTCAGTTGGAGAAGCTTCATCAAATTTGTGGTCTCAGCTTCCCTTTGTGAGTCTTACAGATGCTAATAAAAATATTAGGTTAACTAACAAGAGAACAGGGAAATGCAAAAGGGAGAGCTAAAGGACTCCTTCCAGAAGGTAGAAATTATTATTATTTTTTTTCACAATTGTTTCAGTTGATAGAAGGTGGAAATTTTTAGATGGTTATTAACAAATAAGGTTGAGAAAGAAAACACTGATGGGATAAAACTAAGAATAAAAAGGAGAGAGTCATGGGACATCCCAGCAGGGTGGAAATCTTTAGATGGTTATTAAGAAATGGAATGAATAAAATGGAAATTGATACAGTTAAAACAAAGGTCTTTGTTTTCTGAGGCAGTGTCTCACTTTGTCACCCAGGCTGGAGGGCAGTGGCGTGATCTTGGCTCACTGCAACCTCCACCTCTCATGCTCATGTAATCCTCCCACTTCAGCCTCCTGAGCAGCTGGACTATAGGCGTGAGCCACCACACCTGGCTGATTTTTTGTATTTTATGAAGAGACAGGTTTTTGCCATGCTGCCCAGGCTGGCCTCAAACTCCTCAGCTCAAACAATCCGCCTGCCTTGGCCTCCCAAAGTGCTGGGATTACAGGCATAAGCCACCACAAAACAAAGGTCTTTTTGTTGTTGTTAAAAAATTACGTGTAATCTGTGAGCAGGGGACATGCTAATCTTCTCAGTATGGTTCCAATTTTAGTACATGTGCTGCTGAAGCGAGCACAACAAAGGTCTTAATACAACATGATTGAAAGGCGAGTAGACCAAAGGGAGCCCCTCCGCTCTCCCAACATCAAAGGGCCCTAACCGGTTTACTGTATTTCTCCCAGTTTGAAGAAATTTTAAAAGTCGGAAAGTAGAGATGACAATGAACCGTATGATCTGAAATTGCCTGGGGCAAAAGTGGGGCAGACTAATAAAAATAAAGATTAACAAAAGGTCCAGGGTCCTTTGGTTCAACCCTTGGCTGCAGACCCAAAGCTTTTTGCACAAGAGAGAGTAAAATGGTCTGAGGTGAAAAAGTTCCTGAAACTAGAATATAAACATGTAAGGGTTGATAGGATGATGAAAGTCGGTATATTTGAACACATTTTATGTGAAGTGACTGCATCTCTTTTATCTGACTGTATCATGGTAATGAACACAGTAGCATGGTAATGAACACAGAAACTGGAGAATGTTTCCCCTATCTGGTACCATAAAATAGAAGGCATGTCAATCTGCTCTCCAGGCACTATTAATCCTGTGCCCAAGCCCACATAGTGCAGAGTGGAAGCTAGAGTGCTGGCAGGGACAAACTCTCCACTTGATAACCCTCTGTGGAGCAGTTCCTGGGGCTGATGACCGTGTCTGGGCACCTCCCTGCAACAACTACTGGGACTTTGGAATAGAGAATTTCCACTTAAGGGGCATTTACTACCTTGCTATGAAATGTTAATTGAAGTTAGCCCTATGACACCTGAAATACTCATGCTGTCTCAGGCGATGTCCGAGAACATTCTAATGGGGATGGCAGTACCCAGAAGAGTTCCACAATAAAACGGAAACGGTTTATAGAGTATCACGCTACCTGAGGAATGCAAGGAGGAGGCACTCTTGAGCACAGTTTTTCTTCCCCAAATCATCTCAGAAAAAAAATCAACAACTTACTTTTTCTCCATTACCTGATGCAGTGATTCTAGGACCAGAGTTGCAACTACAAGTGTTGGGACAGCAAAGATGAATTTTGTTTTTTAGATATGGGATGTCACTGTATTGCCCAGGTTGGTCTCTAACTCCTGACTTCAATCCATCCTCTAACCCTCCCACAGAGCTTGGATTACTAGTATGGACACTGAGCCCAACTTTAAAAAAACATTTAGCAGGAATGCTTTCTAAGTAAAAAACTATAACCATGTTATTAAACCTTATGACAAAATTCCTGAGTGCTTGTGGGTGAGATGTGCCTTTACCACTTCTAGCAAAATTGGGGCTATCAGTGAATATGGCTGGTGGTAAAAATTGCTCATTAGTTCTGCAGCTATGTAACCTCACCCTATCTGAATGGGAGTGGACTGAGAAGGAGCTACTTGCTAGACTTGTATTGCTGCCTGTAATCTAGACCAGCACAGTGGCAATTCTAATGTCCCTTCAAAAAAGTTTGGAGATTAATGGAGAGAAGGAGAAATAGTAGCTGAGAGTAAACAATAAGTGGGTTATTAATTTAGGAAAATTCAATGTTACATTAATAACTCAAAAAAGTCTCAGGGCAAGAGATAACATTGCCTCTTAGCTCAGTGATTCCAGATGCTTGAGAGGATGAAGCTGTGTACTTCCCAAGGCCACTCCTGCTTGTGGACAACACTGAAAGAAAGCCTACAAACTAGAATGTCCTCATCATCCTGGGAGACATTCATACATTATGATGGACTGGACTAATTATTCGTGATTGTGTATATATGTATTTTTGATATAAAGGATCCATAGCAGAAAACCAGCAAGTAGGGCTGTGGTGTTATGTGTTAGTTTTCATCCATGGTTCCTGGCTTATAGACCTTGTTACAGTCCTCTGTTATAATGTTGGGTGTGCCAGGCCTCACGGGCAGGCCTCTGACCTTCTCTTGCCCTCTTATCGCCTATCCCAAGGCAGGACTCTAATCCAACTGTGGGTCTTACGCCCCTTCCATGAGAGGGTCCTACCCTATACCCTGGGGGAAGGAATGCTAACATCATGAAGCTTTCATAAAAAGTCAAGAGGACAGGGTTCAGTGAGCTTCTGGAGAGCTGACCATGTGGAGGCTCCTGGAGTTTCCAGGGAGAGCTTGGAAGCCCTGCACCTATATGGCTTGGCTGTGTCCCCACCCAAATTTCATTTTGAATTGTAGCTCCCATAATTTCCACACATTGTGGGAGGGACCCAATGGGAGATAATTGAATCATGGGGGCGGGTGGTTTCCCCCATACAGTATGGGGAAAAGTCTCATGGTAGTGAGTAAGTCTCATGAGATTGGATGGTTTTATAAGGAGTCTCCCCTTTCACCTGGCTCTCATTTTTCTCTTGCCTGCTGCAATGTAAGACATGCCTTTCATCCTCTGCCATGTTTGTGAGGTGCCTCCCCGGCCACGTGGAACTGTGAGTCCATTATACCTTTTTCTTTATAAATTACCCAGCCTCAGGTATGTCTTTATCAGCAGCGTGAAAACAGACTAATACAGCACCCATTCCCCCATACCTTGCCCTACATATTTATCTGTATCCTTTGCAATATCCTTTATAATAAACTGGTAAATGTGTTTCCCTGAGTTATGTGAGCTGCTCCAGCAAATTAAATGGACTCAAAGAGGGAGGCGTAGGAACCCCAATTTGAAGCCAGTCAGTCAGAAGTTCTGAAGGTCTGGACTTGCAACTGGTGTGTGTGTCTGTGGTGGGGGGCAGTTTTGGAGACTGAGCTTTCACCCAGTGGGACTGCCAGTATCTCCAGGTGGACAGTGTCTGAACTGAATGAGAAGACACCCAGCTGGTGTCTGCTGCTTGGTGCGTGGGGAAAAATCCCCTCACGTTTGTCACAGAAGTCTTCTTCTGTGTTGACTGTTGTGATGTGAGAGCAGGGGAAAAACGGTTGGAGAATTTTCCCCACAGGCATCAAGTGGCAATAAGAAATAGGCTGTTGTTGGTAAATTTGGATTATGGATGGATACTTTGGCAGGAGATAGAAATGTGAAGCTTTCTGAATGGGTATAAAGCTGTGGGACTGTTTGGATGACTTAAGGAGTAAGGGAAGATACAGAACAGAAGCAGTCCACGAGCACGGCCTGTGGTGCCCAACATGCAGGGGCTGAGGAGACGAGAAAACAGCGAAGGGGGTCAGGAAGGAACTGACAGTGCAGCGAGAGTGGACAGGGGGTGTCCAGAAGACAAGTGCATAGCATTCGAGGCAGGAGAGAAGCAGTAACTGTGCCAAAACCTGTAGACGGCCAAGCGAGACAGGGCTGAAGCTTAACTACCAGTCTATCGGCTTGCAGCGGGATGGGACGAGAGGATGGATGCATGAATCTTGTCTCTGAGCATTAACAGCTGCGAACTTCACATACAGAGGCAACGCGATGGTGTACACCTTGTGATAGAACACACTACCACCTATGAAGCGGTTTTGCCAAAGCCTGAATCTATCTGATCAGTTTCTGCAGTCAAATTCCAATTAATAGGAAATATGGCAGATAGAGGAACATGTTAAATGAACAAACATGTGAGGGTGGAATCCAGACTGGAGAAATCTATAGGACAAATAGCCCGGTTTCTTCAACAAATAAAAAGAGAGAGATGCAGGGAAAACTTTAGCCTAAGACACTTAGAGATGTATCAATCAACTATGATATGTGCACCTTATTTTAATTCTTATTCAAACAAACAATTTCTTAAAGAAAAAAAGGGAGTTGTGAGACAGCTGGATATGTAACAGTTGGTATTTGATGATATTAAGAAATTTTTGATTTTTTAGACATGATGAAATTGTTTGATGTAATAATAGAACTGCATGTGCATACAATCGGCTGGGATTTGCTACAGAATTACTGAGAGTGGCTGGGTAAAAAACAAGATGAAGCAAGATCAGGTACAAGCTGGTAAGTGCTAGAATGGGTGATGAGTAAGTGGGTGTGGTGGAGGAGGCTGCAGGATACTATTCTGTGTCTTTTTTTGTATTTCTGTATATGTTTATTATGGGAAATTCCAAATAGTAAACACACACACACACACACACACACACACACACAGAGAGCACGGGTGCAAGGGGGTGGTGGTGGGTGGGACACAGGTCTTGAAGGGTATTCAGAGCAGGCCTGCCCTGATAGGGCAGGTCAGATGGAAGGGAACAGCAGTGCAAAAGAGGAAGGGACATGTGCTGAAGTCTGTCCCCAAGGGGGTGAGAGGGTACAGCGTCTACCTTAGGACTATGGCCACTACGCCTAGCAGATGATAGTAGGGGTGGACTCCTGTGCTGACTCAATAAGGAACAGAAACAAGGGGCTCCTAAGGAGAGGAGAGAGTGCCGGGGAGTGGGCTGAAAGGTCGTGGTGTCAGGACTGCTGGGCAGCCCCAGATGACCATGTAAGGTCAGCGGTCATGTGGAGAACCAGACTGCCACCCTGACTGTGCTCTCAGAAGTCAACAGAGTGGCAGAACTCAGAAGAGGAGGGGCAGGAGCTGAGGGAGCACATCAGGGAGTGACTCTGGTGATGGACTGACATCATGCTGCGAGGCATGGGAGGGCATGGAGGGGATGAACATTGGGAAGAGCTGGGAGCAGCCACAGTGAAGTCCCACAGGCACTGAGAAGTACTGGGGTCTGGTGCTAAAGGAAGCAAGCTGGAGCAGCAGGGGTGCTGCGTGAGAGATCTGGGATGGAATCTGGGCACACTGGCGATGGGGGTACATGCCTGGGAAGCTTGTCTCAAACTCCTTTGAGATTAAAAGAGCCCTTTGGGCAGATTTTAAAAATAAAAGGCAGCAAAAACCAATCCTAGATAAAGACGCAGCAAACTCAAGGGAAGTCTTGCATATGTTCTATGGAGAGTGAATCAGCAGTCATTTGGGAATCCCCTCATCTTACTAAGCAGGAGCCTGGCCTGAACAGCCAGTGCTCTTCAAAGTGTGTTACTTCACTGAAGAACTCTAGAGAGTGGTGAATTTCAGCTTCCCAGTACTAACTCCCAGTTTGACTTCTGCTAAAACTAGGCAACACAGCA